GCTCCAGCCCCAGGTAGGGGCTGGATCCCATGTCAGAGCAGCCCCCTGCCCCACAACCGCCCTCGTACTCGATTCTGAGATTCTAAGTTTTTCTCCCTGGTTCTTAAAATTGAGTAAATATGGTAACGGCTCGTGGTGACTGTATGTAACCTGCCACCGTGTCCCCCAGCTGAATTCAGCAGGGTTTGATCCCAAAAGTGCCTCTGTGGGTGCCTGCTGCTCCCCGTGCCCCATTGTTCATCACTCCCAGCCTCTCTGGTAAAGGCCCCAGAACAGTACATGGTATCCACAGCCCAGGTCAGTACCTCATCTCCAAAGCTGGGCAATGGGAGAGACCCAGGGACCAGAGCCCCTTCCAAGACAGAGGACTCCGGGTTTCCCAGCCCTGTGGTTTCAGTATGATCCAGTGGCTGGTCCCAGCTATGGGGGGCAGGAATCGGTCCCACTCAGGGCTTTGCTCGCACATGTTCCTCCCTCAGCGAGCTGGGAGACTTCTCTGGGACATCGAGGCATGGGTGCAACTTACGGCATGAGAGCACAGGGCAGGTCCTGCCTCTCCCTGGGCTGGGGATGGGCAGCGTGGGATCAGCATAGAAAATGTCAGTCTCTCTGCTGCTTGGCTCCTACTGCAGCTATCCCCATCACCAGGAAAAAATGTCCCCCAGGGCAGAGGGGCAGTAACAGCATGAGACCCTCCTAACACCACCCGCCCTGCCCACTCAGTCCCTGAGGGTGGGAGTCTGCCCCCCAGGGGGGGCAGTGCAAGGGGGCACGAGGGAACGGTGCTCGGAGTACAAGAGAAGCTGCCAAGGGGGTAGGGGGCATGGCATAGGTTGCAGGGTCGGGGTGCTAGGGGAAGAGGGGGCTGTGATGGCATGGCAGGGGCCAAGTGGCGAGCAGCAGATGCAGGGCCTCAGGGGGGCTCTTTTCCACACTCAAGACTGCCTCGCGGGCCCCGTGGATTCTGCCTACACTGTGATCTGCTTGGGCCCTTTGCGCTCAACCCAAACCCAGGAGCTTGTTAAAACATGCTATTCGATTAGTCCAATTTTGTCACATCCCTGAAGCCAGCTTTGCCTTTCCCTGGGTGCCTGGGGTGGGGCCTACTTCATACATGTCTTCCACGTCCAGAAGAGATTTCACAGAGACCCAGCAGGGAAAAGGCACGGAAACAAAAGCATCGGGTGCTTACAAAATATTTCTTCCTCCATAGTTTTAGCAGCACAACAGATTTGTTGCACTGGTGCTCCCCGATGTGATGGCCTCAAGCAAGTGTATGCTTCAACTCTATAAAACCAGCGTCCAAACTCGTGCTTTATTAAAGAGAAACTCTTTTATGTTTCCCAGTGCTTTTTTAAATAGAAACTCTCACAGTTCGTCAGTGCTCACCTCATCCCAGAGAGCACCCGAGGCTTTCCCCAAGTGGTAAATGGCACCTCTTCCTTTTATAATGAAATATTTCTTTAATATTAGCAAGAGGTAAGTACTGCTCAGGCCAATGACACCTGATGCTCTCATCTCCAGTTGGAGAATTTCCAGCGGCTTGGTTGAATTTTGGACTCCCATCTTTCAGGTGGGGGATGCGTTGTCTCTTGAAACTATGCAATGCCACATGGGCTCCAGCGGTTTTGCGTCTTCTCCACCCCTGTGTGGCCGTGTTGCCTCTCCCAGTGTAAGAGCTCTTTCTCTTAAAGCCTCTAGAATCAATACATGAAAGAAAAGGGTTCAGCACATCGATGCGCCACTTGAGTGCTTTGTACGACCCAACAGTGAAAAATAGTGGACAACAGTGCTGCTGTCCCTGAAGTCTCTTACAGATTAAATTCTGTTTCTGTGTCTGGCTGTGCGTCTCTTCCAATTGCACAATCACATGCAGTGAGAAATTAGCTAAAAGTAGCATAGGAATTAAGTCATGGCATCATAGAGCCGTAGCACAGGAAGGCATCTCTGAAGGACGTCTGGGTGCAACCCCCGCTGGAAACAGGTCATCTCTTATCCAAACAAGGCCACAGAAATCCATGTCTAATTTAATCCTCAAGTTACGCAGTCAACTGTGTCACGCAACCACAAGGCAGAGCACCTGAGTCTGCTTCAGGTAAGACGGGGCAGTTGCTGCGGGTGTCCTGCTTCTGCCAGGGTCGTTACGATCTGCCCAAGAGACCCAAGAATGGGGGCAACATTGCTGACCGCAGAGGAAGGCGCAGACACCCCCCCCAGCCTGTACAAATCTGACCGCGGGGTTCAGATTCCTGCCTGACGCCAGGTGCAGGGATTGGGTTGAGCCTGAACGCCGGGGCAAGACTCTAGCCACGACCATGTGGGCTTGGTCCCACCAGGAGCATTGGCACAGCGCCATCCCCAGTCTGGGTCGCAGGCACCACCGGCTGCCTTTTAACTAATACATTCAAATAAAACAAAATTATCAAAATTACCAACCTATTAAAACACATCTATTGCTTAATGAGTATATTAATGTATACTTTATATACTTATATGTTTACTTAATGCATTAATCATTTATTTAATGAATTAATCATAATACATTGTTCTTCATTATCACTTCACAAAGTAGTAAGGTGATACCAACAGTAATATATGTAAAATCATATAAAACAGCCTGCGCATTAAATATTTGCAGCCCAAAATTAAAGATGCAAATAAATTAAAGAGTGAGAGAATGTAGGAAACGTAACACTGAACCTGTGGGCATAAGGAGCAGAACAGAGTTTGTTAGGAAGCCTAACAATTCACGTTATAGATAAAGCAGACAGGATTTTTTTTTTTAAAAAGGTATATGGTACCGACTGAGTGTGTGTATGAGAGTGTGTGTGTCCCAGCCCCTCTGGGTGTGTATGCATGCATGCATGTGTCCATTACAGACAGCTGGGTTGTGGTTGTGTGTGTGTGCACTAGTGTGCATGTTCTGGATGCCTGCGTTCTAAGTTGTGTGTGTGTGCATGCATGTGTGTCCATGTGTATGTCCCAGATGCCTGGGTTATGTGTGTGTGTGGGTGGGTGCATGTGTCCTGGACACCTGGATTCTGTGTTTGTCTGTGCATGTGTGTGTTCCCCAAACAACTCTTCCCTTTGCTGGAAGCAGGAGCCCAAAACAATGGCATTTGAGGCCCAGTGGGTCCCGCTGCAGCCTCCATACACAGCGTATCTGAGCTGGAACGCACATTGTGGGAGGCCAAGAACAGCCAACTCACTCTTCCCATGACCCCAAAACACAACTCCTGGTGCTGGCGACAAAGCAACTGAGCCTAAGAGGAGCTCAGGAGGAACATGGATGCGGCTGTCTCCACACCTGGGTGCAGGTCTATCACCCAGACCCATGTTGCTGGGCTGCAGCATTTGAAGAAGGCCCTGCCCGTGAAGCCGTGTAGTCCCAGTGCACCGGGGCACAGGGTGGTCCTGTGCGGCACCTGCCCAAGGCGAGATCTGGCCTCCCTCTGCAGCCTGGAGACCTTTCATTATGAGGCCCTTCATTATCACCTTTAACCAATGGTGATAAGGATGAACCCCGCTCCCACTGCTCGTTGCAGAGAGCCGTTTACCCTACCCTTGCCCAGTGCATGCAAAGAGCCCAACGGGCCTCAGCTCTGCCCCTGTGAGCACAACTTGTAAAGCTGGGGCACAAACCCCGTTGTGATAAAACTACGGTGTGCTGAAGCCCCTATGGAAGCCCAGGGCTCTGCTGTGGGTTTATGTGGGGGGCATCATCACATCCCAGCACCACTCGTGAACGTACCGTTGTGTCCATTTTAGCAAAAACCTCCTTTTCCAATGCAGTTATTCCCAGTTGGGGAGCAGGGGGCAGACATAGGGGCAGGCTCTAGAGATGTGGCTGGAATGACTGGGGCCTCCTCAGCTTGCCCCCCACACCCTATGTCGATGCACTTGCATGGGCCAACAGTGCGTCAGCCTCTGGCTTCATAAGCTCCGTGCGTTCATGGCTGCTGGATGATGATCTTTTTCAAGTGAATCTGAACAATTAACAGGTCAGTTCCCAAGGACCAGGGTCCTGAGAGCCCTTCCTGTCAGAGTGGGGTTGTGGCCACCAGTGTCCTGCTACTGCCTCCAGTGCAGTGCCGGGCTGAGCCTGAGTGCAGGGGCAAGACCCTGTACCAGGACCCTACGGGGTTGCTCCCCGCAAGACCACTGGCACAGCCCTGTCCCCATCCCAGACCTGGGCTGCAGTCAGCACCCAGAGCCTCTGGGGGAGGCTTAAAAACCCCTGACACATGAAGCAGAAAGCAGGGGAGAAGGGGGAATAATTCCCTCCCAGCCTCGTGCAGCTACCTGGGACACTGGTTGTGGGGGCAAGGCTGTGAGCTGGGGCACAAGATCCTTTTCCTCACAGACGGGGCAGTGGCTGCAGGCTCAGGGGACCTACAGTGGCCCCTTTCCACAGCCCCCTCTTGCTGTCCTGTCTCAGCCAGGCCCAGGCTCTGCGGTGAGGAGACAACTGG